GCAGAGTGTTTTTCTTTATGGGCGTTGTTTAAAGGGAGATGAATGTTGTCTGTTTCTGAGCTGATTGGGTGGTTTGTTTGTCAAATTGTGTGGGAAATGTTTGTTTGGATTACAAGACTGGGGATGGGAAAGTTTATGGTTGTCTTGTTTGATTTTCTGGGGAACATGTATGATGGTGATGCCTTCGGGGGCGAAGGTTGAAAGGAAGGGGGAATCCTTGTGGTGCGAGGAAGGTTTTAGGAGTTTTCTGGTCATGTTTGCTGGGTTTTCGCCCATAGAATTTTCTGTTTGAGATGAGGCTTAGCAGGTGGCTGTTTTTCACCTGGAGGCATGGCCTTGTCTTCCTCAGAGAGAGCGGAGGAACAAGACAGCGAGAACCCATCCTGTACAACCAACACCACCACCTTCTTTACTGTTGTTTCTGGGTGTCATTTTCCCCACTCCTTTCGCTTGCTTTCTCACTGTGTTTTACTGTCAACTTTATCAGCATAAGTCTACACTCGTATCCGATCGAATATTACATTGTACGGTTACCACAATTGCACAGGTGTCAGCTCGGTCAATCACACCATCCAAAATCCGGAAGACAACCGAGACACTTCCACACCGGTACCGTAGTTGGGGTTTTTTTACACCCTACGCTTTTCTGCATGTGATGCTTTTTCACCAGCTCTTGTCGCTCAGACCCACGGTATTTAATCAAAAAAATAATTGAAAGAAGGGTGAAAAAGAAAAAATGGATGAAATAAGGTTTAATCCGTCGCTCAGTTCATGAGCAATAAATCCTGTAATTGGTTCGCATCTTACTGCATCCCCGCTATCAACCCCCGGAAGGTCTGACCCTAGCGGCGATAACCAAATATTATAATCCTCCGGAAGAACGTATGGGAGAAGAATCAAATCTCCTTCATTATTCCAGTACAAGACAAGAAGTAAAGGAAAGGGGTAATAAAAAATAAAAAATTTCTATCCAGAAAAATGAAGATCTCTAAGTCCAGTCAACGCGCAGCTCATCCCGCACCCTCCTTATCGTCCGATACGACGGAGGAGGCGACAGGGCTGAGGCGAGTATGGTACAGACGTGTGTTTCAGAGGGGAGGAGGTTTCTTTTGCTTTGGGCAAAAAGAAACATGAGGAGGCCAAAGAGTGCAACTGTGAGGGCATGTGTGATGGTTTTGTCAGTCTTGCCTTTGTTGTGTTGAGGTTGCGACTTGCAAGGGGATTCATGGACAAAGGCTGTGATGCACCAGCACCGGAGCTGCAACTATAGTGCGGTGTGAGCTAAATAGCGAAGGCGGGAAACTTTCTGCTCTTCAAGAAAGTACGATATGGACCAGTGTATCAGAGGCTACGTTTTATCGTGAGAGTTATGGATAGTTTAGCATTTCCCCTTACACTGCCGTTGTGTGGAGGGAGGGACTGGGGCGGGAGAAATCCGACTACTATACGGAGTACAACACTACTGTGCATACGAGCACCAGAGCTATGATAGCTTGTGGGTTCGTGGCCCAAACACCGTGGATGTCTGTGTTGCCTTAGTCCTAGATTTAAGAGTACGGTACCTGTACTAGTACAAAGCACAAAACACAGCAAGTGGTTTTCAGGTTCGCAAAAAAAGGAATATCATATTGAGGGATTATGGAGGTTCAAGGTAAATATTTTGTGTTCTTGAGAAACGAGCGAATATCCAAGTGAGAGAGCAAAGAATAAATCCATGGGCACAATCATATGCAAGAGCTCTCTCTGTTCGAGCCATGTTCACATGGCATGCTGATACCTGCCTCGGCTCCCAGCTTGGCGTCTTGTCTCCTACAGGCCCTAGACCCTCGTGCGAGCGGTACAAGTGTCAACGTCCAGCCCACCATGGATTGTTGAGCCGCTCTATCCCAGTACGGCACATTACCATACTCGAGTGCTCGAGAACACCAAAAAATGGATCTTGGACCCCCTGTAGCAGACTTGGCTCGAGTTTATTCTCCATTTGTGGCGCAATTAACTCTACCCGTGGCTTGCGCGCATGATCTTAGCAGAAGATGGTGTGTTACAAGTTGACACTATCATTGGCAGTGGTCCCGGTCGTCCGGTCCGCTCAGGACTAGGTGGGGACGGCAAAAAGACGAGACACGTCGGCAGGGTTATTATAGCAAGGGGATGGAAGGCCGTACTTGGACCGTACTGTACGAGTACCATACAGTACTTGAGTAGCGGCACTTTAGCCTGGAGGACTAGAACCGGACAATGCGCCCAGAAAGAAAGTCACTCTACCGGTCCTGTTACACAAGTTGGAATAAAAACAGGAAAGACTATGCATACAGACCCCATTTCTGCAAACCTGAGAACAAAGGCATTAAGTCCAACCGTATTTCTATCCTCGCCCTCGTTGTCTCTCCAGGTCCAAGACAAAGGACCAGCACGGTCTGACGATTAGGGAGCACTGCACACGCTCACCTTTTGAGGTTTGGTGCAGAAAACCATAACACTTTAATTTACATACGATGGGTGCTCGATGGTTATCGAGCGGTTCTGCAAATACCGTTACGGCACGAGTACAGTACAAAATTCTAGAGTCTATTGAGTATTCGGCCTCCAGGAAGGAGTACTATCCCATGCCGGAACCAAATTATATGGGCGATTCCCCCGGTGGAGTTGCCCCGGCGTTCAATCTGGCCTCTGCTGCCGTCCGAGTGGCTCAATTCCTATTTTCCTTTTATCTTCCGTTCCGCAGGGTTATCCACGGTAAAGCCAAGACCCCCCCCGTGCCAGGGGTAGCCACTACGGGGGAGGAGGTACTGTACTGTACTGGATAACAGCAAGGCACGGCAAAAACCTGGTTAGCTGGTGAGGCTTTTTTCACCCCTCGAGTTTTCATCCGGATGAGGTAAAACCGCAACGATTCCCAGACGAAGCAGAGTCACCTATCGCTTCGGTGAGTGTAGTCGGTGCCGTAATTCTCTAGGAGCATGGGCATTGGATGGGCAGGGGGTGGGGGGGATAGTGGGATTTAATCCGGCCTCCCGAGGCTCCTGACAGGAGAGTATGATAACCCGGCGAGTTTCCCGTCATCTCGATGGACGTGGGTGGGTACTCGAGTACAGTACTGGGGTTTGGGAATTTCTATGCTTCTCTGAGGGTGGTGGGAATTTGGTGAGGAGTAGCATGGTAATCTCAGATCATCCGTTTGTGATCGAAGGGACCTCTCTCCTTGAGGCCTTTGAGGGTCGGAGGAGACAGGTGGGGGGGAAGGGTGGGGAAGACCGATTTTTCCGACACAAACAGCCCTCGCACGCACGCACCACAATACAACTAAGAGGAAGCGCGCCGCTGAGGGGTCTCAAAAGTTGTCCGTCCCCAACATAAAAAATTCTCCCACCCGTATGGGGGCGACTTACTGACCAGGGTTCCCATTTCCCGATCATCATTATATAATACCTTTGGCCATTGGCCCATAGAACGATAAGAATGGCTCGAGTCACCGGTCTCTTGAAAGGGAAAAATTAAAGGGAAAAGGCGAACTGGAATGCATTCTAGACTCCTACCTTTCTCAGCTGCCAGAGGGCGGTGCAACCGCGGCACCGTGCATGTTCTTTGCATGGAACGTATCGCAGGTCGCTCATTCTAAATTTACCCACTTGGCCTTCAGACTCGCGGACCGGATCAGGATTCCTTTTGTCTACTCAAGTCAGTCGATAGTGGGCCAGGTAGACGGTATGCTACAGGCCCGAGGACAGTCGTACTACACAGAAGGGGTCACGAGCCGCAAGACTGCACTCGACCAAGAACGATGCATCTAGGGTCAGATAACTAATCCTGATAGTACAGTACTCGCACTGACTTTACCGCCCCGGGGAATATATCTGGCTCATTACTCAGCCGGCCCCATTTTCTCGTACGGTTGCTAGCCCCCGAAAAAAAACAGCCCACCCAGATTTTGCAAGAATTCCGGAAGGAATAAGGAAATCAACAGCATGTGATGTTGCGGTTCGTCAAAACCTTGGGAGAATTTGATGTTATCGTGAAGGGGCCCCACTTGCAAAGGCTGGTTCTAAGTTGCCGGTGCCATACCCCAGGGCATACTTTTCCAGGCCATCGATTTTTTCTAGGAACCAATTAGTCTCACCTGCTCCCAGGCTCATGGCGATTTGGCTTCTTTGCTTTCCCACCGTCATGAGGTCGTAGTTTTCAATAGCACGCTTGAAGCTACAGAGAAGTCTCACAAATGATGATAATTCACGGTGTCTCACTCTTGGAGTCTTTTTTTTTTTTCTGGCTCCCGTTCTTTTTTCAGACGCACTCTGTCTTTATTACCATGAAGAGGAGCACGCGATCTCTAGGGCGGATACGGTATGCCGCCATGGTGTTGGAGCACCATCACGAAAATCACATGCATATTGGGCGGCGGCTCCGGACTGCCGTGGCCCATCTAATCCATGCGCTGCCAACTCTTGGTTTTCAGCGGCCGCTTCGAAGAACCAGAGTCTGAAAATATTTTCCCTTCTTCTCTTGCTGGCGTCTGCACCCGTAATGTGGGGAAGCGCGAGGGATTGCTGGAAATGAATTCCGAGAGCAGCTAGCCTAATTCCCGAGTCAAGTTTGGTAGGTAGCGGTAGCGTAATTTTGCCCCGCAAAGAACGGAGAGCATTGGCTGGGGCTTGTTCCGAGACCCTGGGGAACCCCGTTTGTGCGGAGGAGTGGATGTACTCGAGTAGTGAAGAGTGAGAAGGAATCGGGATCGATATAGTGTAGCTAAAGCGGGGGAAGGGGAGGGGGAGGGATGGTGTTGAAGAGGGTGAGTGGAAGGGATAAAGGTGCAAATTCAAAGATTGAATGGGTGGGTTGGAGACGAGCGTATCAGGAGGGGCATACTTCGTAGTCTACTCGACGTCAGGACAGTCAGGGGAGTCAAGCGTGGTGTACGAGTATCATAGCAGGTAGGCGGTGGTCTTTGTGGGGCCTACTCCGTGCTCCTACTCGTACTGTGCTGGGGCTGGTGACGGGTGGTAGTGGGCAACGAGGGACTGGGGTGGAGGAGCACCGTGGCGGGAATTGGCTATGATATAACGCCGCAGGTGGGGAGGGTGGACCACTCCCCCATTAGTTACCGTAGTGGGTAAAGGGAAGCGGTAGGTCTGCATATGCGAGCAAAGTAGGCACGAGTACTCTAAGCTACGGTAGAATTTATACCGCTACAAGGGAATGAATGACATACTGGTATCACATTGGGGCACATACGACGCAGTCTAGATTCCGCAGTATTAAGGATATGAAACTAGAAATTGAATGGGTGATGCTAGGCCCTTTTATCGACGGATGCATGTCCATTGTGCTAATTCCTGCCCACCCTTCTCCCGTTATGCCTCATCTCTTCCACCTGGTTAGAGCACAAAAAGCGCCTTGAACAGAGTCATTCTTAACTCTGCTGGCCCGCCCTCCCCTCGTCCACCCAGCTATATACATGGCCTCTGCCTCCCCCGGATTTCCCTCCACCTCCTTCTGCTCCGTCCACCTTTACCCATGCTTCTCACTTGCTGACCATCAGGCCACGGCATCGGGGGGTTCTGCTATCGTGTCTAGTGCCGCCGAGCCAAGCTTCAGCATCAAACATACCCGCAAACTTCAAAACAATTCTTCCGTTGCCACTCACGAAAGAAGCCTCCGAACATTGCTGTCTCACATCGACGTCACCGGCCGGCAATGGCCCTCCCGGGAACAACGACCACATCAGCCGTTCCCAGCCCCGCTATCTCTACCACCGCAAATATGGAACCGCAGCCAACCGCTGCAAATAATGGTTCTGCTGCTGCGGGTCAGAAGAGATCCGCTACTGTTGCTGGAAATGCAAACCCTTCAATCTTCCGCCCGGTAAAGCGTCGAGCCTCCAAGGCTTGTCAATGTTGCCGAGCGAGAAAAGTGCGTTGCAACGTTGTTGAACACGGTGCCCCTTGCACGAACTGCAGACTGGATGAAGTGGAATGCATTATTACAGAGAGCAGACGAAGAAAGTGAGGCATAAATCCTACTCCTGAATTACTATTGCCTCCAATCAACTATTCAAGCTTACACCCTCGTTTAGAAAACTCTGGGGCACCAAGGTTGACAATACCGGCTCCGCCTCCGACACCGGTGCCGACACGACCACTCGAGCGGAGGCTAGTGCCTCACCATCGGAAAGGAAAACTGGCTTCTGTCATAAAAATGGGACCCGTATTTCGGGCTCTCCCCCGGCAAGGTCAATTGACCTCCGCTCCGACAAGGAGGGCGGTGGCCACGTGCCTCATCTAATCTGTGCGTTCAATCCCTCCGTGTGCTCGGGAAAAAGAAAGAAAAAAACTCACCACCCGAAACCCTTCTCACATTTTCTTGTGCGAGCAGACCAGGCACAAGGTCTGCGAATGGTGCGTGACCGTCGGGCATCTTACGCATCATCTCATGAATCCCTCCCCTCCTTGGCGAATTCACTATCCACACATACCTCGGCTTCGTCATCGCATCCCCGCAAATTACTTACCACCTCACAAGCTTGCAATGAATTGCCGGCCTTCATCAAGCCTACCCCCATAAAGATCCCACTCGATGATTTGGACTACCTAGCGAAGAAGGGTGCTCTAACACTTCCGGAGGAGCCCCTACGAAGCGAGCTACTGCGGAGCCATTTTGATTTTGTGCATCCCTACATGCCGCTATTGAACAGGAAGGAGTTTTTGAGAAGTGTTACCTCCGACGATGGAAGTAAAGGGAGAATCAGCCTTTTACTCTTTCAAGCGGTGATGTTCGCTGGAAGTGCAGTGTGTTTGTACCTTCCTCTTCCGAATTTGTAGCGCGACTAACCGAACCTCCTAAATTAGTTTGTCGATATGGAAAGTCTTCGTGCAGCCGGATATACAACACGCAAAGCTGCCCGGAAGGCATTCTTCACAAAAGCCAGGGTATGTGTAATCGCTTTATTATAACCTGGTATTTCTGACAGATACAAAAAGGTGCTTTACGATTTCGACCATGAACAAGACCGCATCTCACTCGTTCAAGCGATTTTGCTCATGACATATTGGTATGAGACACCAGACGACCAAAAGGATACATGGCACTGGATGGGGGTTGCCATTTCCCTTTCACACACAATCGGTCTGCACAGAGACCCAGCAAGCTCGAATATGGATCCTGACCGCAAGAAATTATGGAAGCGTATTTGGTGGAGCTGTTTCATGCGGGATAGATTGGTGGCATTGGGGATGAGGAGGCCGACAAGGATAAAGAGCGAGGATTGCGATGTGCCGATGCTTACACTGGATGATTTCTCGATTGATACGGGCCCTGATGGTGATGAGGAGGATTCAGTGTTCTGGAGTTGCGGGGAAAGGCAGAGGAAGGAAATGGAGTCACGCCGGCGAAAGGAGCTTGCAATCTTGTGCATTCAGAAAGCCAAGTTGTGTATGGTTATCAGCCGGGTGCTTTCCGCGCAATACTCAGTATTGAACACCAACCAAGGAACTTTAGCTGCCGACGGAAACACTAGGACCACTATGATGCTGTTGCCCAAAAAGCTAGATCCCGAGTGTTGCCAGGTGGAGAGATGTGATGAGGAATTGGCCAAATGGGCGCGAGAGCTACCAGAGGACGCGATCTATCGACCCATTGGTGCCAATGCTCCGGTAGATGAGGTCCTTACCCTGCATAGAAATCTCCTTCACATGTGTTATTAGTAGGTTACCCCAATGTCCGAACCAGCCTTTGGAATGATAGTAATGGCTGATTATTTATTTGCAGTACAACTGTCAGCGCTCTTCACAGGCCCCAGGTTCTGCCGTCTGCACCAGCCCCTTGGCCTGCAAGGAATACCGGTGCCGAGCTTCAGGAGATTTCCCGTAGAAAAGTTCGACAAGCAGCCTCTGAGATTACTCATCTCGCGGGTGAACTCATCGACTTGGGTCTCGTTAAGTACCTTCCAACTACTGGGTATGTAGGAATGCACCACACTATTTTACCACCTGTTTACTGATAGAAGGACAGTGTCACCGTCATGCTCCCAGCAGTGATTATCCACTTGCTCGACATCAAATCCTCGAATGAGTTGACTAGGGAACTTAGTCTGGAGGGATTCGGCATCTGCATGCAGGTGATGCAAGGACTTCGGCAATCATACTCGGCGGCCGATTATGCAACTCACTTCTTAGAGGCTGCTATCAAGAAGGCGGAAATTCAGTTTGCCGGTCACAAGAAGTTCAGAGTAAGGAGAAGAGCGAGATACCGCTATTACTTTGACCAACCATCCCCGCAAAAGCCAACGCCTACTAGCTCTCCGCACAGCACACCGTTCAGTGGCAATGCGATCGCAATCCCTGCCTCCGCTCCACCGTCCAATGCAGCGCTCACCCCGCCCCCTGACATTGAAAATACCAATATGCTGGATGCGATATCGCTGGATGAGAATGAACTCCAGCTCAGATTAGAAACCTTCCTCCAATCTCCGCCATCACCAAAACAAGATGACCACCAGCCCCCAACCCCACACTCACTGCCCCAGAACTCTGCAGCCACTTTCACAATTGGTAGCAACGGCATGCTCCGCGTTCGCGAGGAACTTTTATTCCCGTCGGAAAAGTCTACCTCACCGACGCCATTCCTCTCCATACCTCGCGCTACTGACGAAGAAAACGGGGACTTGGATGCCTTACTCAACCTCGACGGCCAGCATAATGATCCGTTCTTCGGGCACTACGATGACGCACCGCTGGTAGACCAGAAACTCTTTGATGGTGGGATTAGTGCATTCGGCCTCATCGGGAACCCAAGCTCACTGCCGGACGAAGACATATCTAAGATCTTTGATGGCGCAGATTTCGATATTGATGGCGTTATTCAAGTTTTGGGGACGGAGATTAGTTGATTTGGTTTTATGTATTACCCACTTATTGTCTAATAACCATTCTTGCCCCCCCCTTGGTTCTTTTGGTTTAGTTCGGGCGTGATTTACGATGTCTCTATTGCAATACCTAGAACAGCAGGGGACGAAAAAAAAAAAGGTTTGTTGGACGACCAGGTTGGTGGGAGTGATGGAGTTTTTTTTCCTCTTGATTCCTTTGCTCCTTTCGTACCATACTGGTTACTTTATCTATCTATCTCTTTTTACCCCCCATCACACGTATATTGTAGTCTGCGGCATCCTGTACAGTATGATGATTTCCTTTTGGCGTATACCCAAGTCGGCTGATACCATTGCAATTACAATAAACAAGGAAAAAGTTGATCAAACTGCTGTAGTTACTCGTGTGCCCCTTCGCTCACTCACACTTACAGCTATGTTTCGGGGGTGATAAATCAAAGCCTCGGCCAACCCATGATATCACCAGCATCAAACTCGCCTGCCTGAACAACCTTTTGCTCCACATTTGAGGTGTTCTGGTAAATGCATTCAATTTATCTTCACTCTCTAGAGATTTACAAAAGAGATTTTGATTAGAATATGGACTGGACTATCATAGGACCTGGGCTGCTTTCTAGCTTCGCATCGGGAGCCAACCCGATTAGACCAGTACAGTAGAGGAGGAGCACCGGGAGCAATTGGCATTAATTTATCCTCTCCAATCCAGACCCTTGACACGGGTATCGCTACCGGATCAGGAAAGCGATCGACGGCGTAACAATCGAACTCGGATTGGATACCAACCTTGATTTGTAAGCGTTCCAGGAACCATCACCCGTTCTCGTCCAACGGTGCCCGGGGGACCACAAGGCGTAAGGTTGCGCATCGGCATACCGAACTCGTGTACGAGTACTTTCCCAACGGCTGCGAGAACCGCATGCATGGAGCATGACATATCGTCTAATATGGGGCGGGGTCTGCTCATTCGGGTACTGTACGGTACAAAAAGTACGGAGGGGAGCCTAGTACTAACACCTATGCCGGTAGTCCATTGCGCAATGCGGTATGATACACCTTGCTTCAGCCAGCCACAGTTCTGCTCCGCCATTCGATGGGTAATAATTTATCCATAGCCTATCATACGCGAGGATTCCCCATGTGCAATTACGTGGTAAAGGGGCCTGAATACCGGGCACTCGTCCGTAAAACGTGAGCGCAATTGCATGCCACCAAAATCTTGAGGCTGCGGACGATTTTCCCCGCCCATGCGATGGTAGCTATGCTCACGGAGGTCAGAAAATTACGGGCATGTAACTTAACCCCGGTCTCATGACTTCTAGGATCTGACACCTGGGCATTCCATACTCACATGTGAATACCTCCCCACTCCCGCCCCCTCTACCGATACCGGTTTTCAGCCGTGAGAGTGACTGCAGTAAGGTGCAGAACCGAATGAGATTTATAATCAGGAAAGTGAAGGGAGAAGAAAAGAGTTGACGTGATCAGGCGCTGGTTTAGACGTTGGGGAAAGCTCAGCTCTTGGAAGGGAAAAGAAGAGTTTGAGAAACGAGACCCTCCCATCGGATGCGCGGCCAGATCAGTTGTGGATTGGAGCGTACGAGTATGATATTACGTTCCCGTCATGAAAGCGCTTCCCTTCCTCCCCCGCTCCCTCACTCACTCACGTCCGCGGATGCTTTTTGGGAACCGCTCTTCCCCAATAACCGGTAAGACCTTATCCCTCGATGGTGTGATGCCCAGTCCTATCACAAGTATGGTAAGAGTAGACCAGACTACTTGTGAGTGCGGTGTGATACGGTACACGGTAGATCCCGTTAATCGCAATCACATGAAAGATGAAAAACGGGGCGCAGAGAAAGAAAGCGGGAAAACCGTGTCTCAGGCCACTCGGGGAAAATCGTTTCCCCGCAGATATCTTTAGTAACCACAAATGAAATCCAGAGCTTAACGGGAATCCCTTTTGTTCGTTTTCGAGGACAAGGCTGTCTCGTGGGCTTGGGGGAACCTTAAAAAATTTCTTGCCACCGCTGTCATTAGTAAGCACCATTCTTTTGTGGTTCATTACTGGAAAGTTGTAGAAACGCACGCTTCATCCCTCTATTACTACAAATACTCGTAGCGGGACCGAACACCCCTCAAGAGAAAGTACAGTATGGACAAATGACAATTGAGAAAAAAAGAATATAGAAGAGATAAATCGTCAAGTGTAGGTAAAATAAAACAGAAAAGCAAGCAATCCCGCTACTGCTTCACAAGAATAGGTTGTGGAATTTGTCTCAACGTTCTATCAATAAAACCCTAATTAAACAACTCTCCAATGGAGAGTTTTTTTTTTTCCCCCTCAATTGCATTGCCATATAATTGTAGGTAATTGGGAGTAAGCTGCTCGATAGCAAAAAATAGCAGATGCTTCCAGTGCTCGTAGAGAAATTTTAACAGAGTATTTGTAATTTGTAAAATCCATAGTCTGACTTCTATCCAACTTGGAAATACCTATCAGATAATTGGTATGGCCAAGCAAGCCCTACAAGTGGCATACATAATGCTACTCCATCAGGCTCTAAGCCATATATTCTATTGTCTGCAGATATTCTTTCTGGAACACCAAGACAATTTTCTAATTATTTCTTTCTTTCTTTAAAGATATATTTAATTTTTTTATTAATTAATCTTTATGTACAGATCAATAAATTAATTGTAGATAAACTACCTGAAGTATATCTTCCATGCCTCTGGCTCCATCTCTCTCTTGCCTCCTCCATCAGATATTGATTCATATTGATGCCTGTTGATATATTTCAAGCTCTACAATGCCCAACTCCCACTCACATGGACCCTTAAAAAGCATAATGCTAGTGACACTCTATAAAGAAGCAAATATGGCTTCACTAAATTGAGAATGGGGATAGAACAACTCTGGAAAGCATTAAACCTATTTTCCCGGTCACGGGCCCAAACCTGTAGCAAGCCCACAAGAAAGTCCACTCAAAATCCATCAAAAAGTTCCCACACACGGTATGCGCTCCCACTCGATATAAAACGCCTTCTGCACCTGACCCCTAGTTTTCAAAACTACTCTCCTTAAAATTAGACTGGGCCATAGAGCCCTTGAGGTAGTTCCACCAGGGCTCAATTTCCTTTAAATGGGTCAGCTAGGAGGCTAGAATGTAGAATGGTACACGCATAATTCCTTGCCGTTGGGGGCATCGTGAACCAACATTTCTTTCCGACGGTGGATCGCAGAGACATTCGCGATATCGAGACGAACGAACGAACGACGGCGAAACGAACGGTGAACGAACAGGGATGCAAGGCAACGGGCCAATCAAAAACTAAGGCTCTGTTAGGCCTGAGCCGTTCGTCAATTCAAAACGCGTTTTGAGTCGACAGGAGGGGTTAAAGAAGATGTTAAGGCATGTTATAGGGTATGTTAAATCGTATGTTTGACAGGATAACAGTTGCAAAAAGGCGTTTTGAATTCACGAATGGCTCGAGCCAAACAGAGCCTAAGCGAGTGATGGATTGTGAATCGAAACGCCAAGATCACTCATGTGAAACGATCGCACAACTCTTAGGGGGAGAAAACTTCAACTCGCCAACTTCTCTAACTATCGCGCACTCTCTTTCTCTCTCTCAATTCCTAACTAACTAACGGTAATAGCAGGAGTATATGTCGACGATGCAAAAGACAAAGTCCTAACCCCTCCCATCCTTCCAGGTACGTCTCCCACATACTAGCAAACAAGAAAAGCTAACAGAAAAGACAGACTTCGGCAACCCAGCCTCCGGCCCTCCTTTGGCCTCATCGCTTTCCTTTGTGCCTTCCTTCCCCCCGCCATCCTTCCGGCGGATGCATGTCTCCAAAAAAAAACTCCTGCACACTCCCGCGATCGAAGCGCTTTCCCGAAAAGCCAAACTGCGCAGGCGGAAGCCTATATGCGCCCGAAGCCATAGCGCGCCCGAAACCAAAAGCGCGCTCCCGACAAACAAACCACCGCGAGAGTATGCCGAGCAGCACCTCGCGATTTCCAGCGATTACGGCCACCGGATGATGATACTTCATGCCATTGTCATTTCAACAGGGCCCTTTACCAAGAATTTAGCAGTCGGTTTGGACTTAAACCATTATCCCTCACAACATAATAGCAGCAGTGATAGGGCCAGCCAGACATGCACACATTTCTAGCACGAGTCCTCTAGCGGTAGGGGATAATGACCGAACCGGACGAGACGATACAGGCGAAGCCGACCGTTGTTCCTAGTCGCCTCTGTCGAAAACACCTCTGCGAGCAGACACCACAGACAACTGCCGATTGATCAAATACCGCATTATCCGGCGGTAATTTGCCACAGGATGCTGCTCCCGCCAAAGTTTCTACTTTCTCGAGGGAAATGACTTCCCGAAGAGGTTTACTCTCGCTTGCCCATTCGGCCACACTTTATTTGACCGCTCTAGCACCATTCCCAGTATCACCAGATAATGTACCAAAGGTACTTGCTTATATGGTCTTGGCACAGTACTGATATGATAGCTACTAAACAAATATTAGTTGTTATAGCATTCATTCGTGCCAATATGGGCAATCTCGTTACCCGGCAGATTTACAGTCCTTGCGCTGGGATACTCACCGAAGATGAAAGGAGGCGGCAATTCGTTATCGGCTCTAAGATTGGTGAAGCTAAGGAGGATATCACGCATGTGAAGAAGGAGATGAACCCCGGAGTGGATCGGTCGAGGAGGGCATCAACGCCCTCTGAATTACTCAAACAGTAATATGGTGAAGATCGGGGAAGCCGTTATGAAAGCTCAAAATGGCGATAAAGAGTACCCACGCAGGCTTTTGCACGGGCTTGCAGAGGTGTGCAAGGAGTCCGGAGGTCATTGATGAGAGTATTGAAAATGCCCCAATAAAGTTGGAAGAATAGCGCTTGGCTCCAAGTCGGGCGTGACCAGGTTCGTGTCACCACAGCATGATGAGTGGTTGTTTCTACTACATTTTTAAGCCGGAACCACTACACAGAGTTTATCAGTATAGAATTTAGTTTTTTTTTTACAAAATTTGCTGGACTTCAGTATTTCTCGTGGATGCTAAATAGGTACTGTCTGGATAATACATTAAATTAAGCCCTCCCATGATCTAAAGTGATGGTACTCGAATAAAGGATAGTCCATCCCAACTCTACACTTATTCCGTCCCGTCCTATTCTCACCACAGTAATCGTAGTTCATCGCCTGCCTCAGTAGAGCAAGAGGACTATGATAGAGGATAGGCCAAGTGGGCTGGTAGATGATCTGATTCACCGTTTGAAATATCGATGACTATCTAGCACAGCATAGCACTAGCGTGGAGGATACGACCAAATACCAGGAGAACACCGTACACAGTGTTAAACCTTTAAGGGCTTACCCCCGACTGCCAGATTTGGCGTTAGTCTCCGAGTCCTAAGGCGTCAAGGTGCAAATTAATAAGTAATCCCAAAGCCCAAACCCGAGTGCAACCCCATGATCATGCACGGACCATGAGGCTTATATCGCCAAGCCAAACCAACAACTTTGAAGTTCGTAGTGCGACAACTTCGTCTCACTCCTAAAACCAACCAGATTGACCCATTGCCAGGACGATGTTTGAAGAACCCCAAACGAAACGGTAACCTCTACTCCGCCTCCGATTCTGATCCACCCTCTCTCTCCTAATTACTACGCCACTGACAAACGATCGATCGATAGAATCCGTCGCGAAGACCTCTACCCCCCGCCTCAATCCCCCAATTCTACCGCCGGTTCCAGCGACTCATCGCCGCAACAGCCCTACCACCGCCCAGAGTTACATTTCGAAGAGATCGTTCATACAATTGCCCCAGCCACACCCGCGCCCACTGAAGCAAACCCCAACCATACTGACGATGGCAACGAGTACTCCTTCCCACTGTTCAGCAGCACCACAACCATCATCCGGCTCCGCTCACCAACCCCGCCTCCAGATCCTTACGTCCTCGCTCTAAAATCCCAATCCCGGCCGGTGGGATACTACATCCCTACTGCTACACAACTCACGCTTTTAAAAGCCCGCGCAGCGGAAGTAGCCATAAGCGGGGAGAGTGTGCGTGCCAGTTCCCGTTCGCTAAAATACGCGGTCACGGGACGGGTACTGTTCGGTGAGGGGGTGGTTGGGGAGAAGAGGGGGAGGAAGAGGCCGGGGAAGAAGCGGAGGATACACTTGCGGAAGATCGCGGCTAAGGAGAAGGTATTGGGGGAGGCGAGGAGGAAGAGTATTGCGGGGTTGGAGAAGTATAAGGGGCTCACGCCCGAGCAGTGTGAGGCAGTTACTAAGGCGGAGAGGACAAGGAAGAATCGGGAGAAGAAAATTAGGGAGAGGGCTAAGAAGCGGGCTCTACGGGAGACAGGAAGGGAAGGTGATGGGGGTGTTTAGATTGAGTTAATCCAGCTTTTACCATGACACCCCGCGACTACCTGGCCTCTCATAATCTATTTAGATAAATGGTTGAGGATAGGCTGAGCCTCCTCCGACTTCCAAAACTCCCCCGACGGAAAGCCAAACTTCGCGAAAGCACTCTCCTTCATCTCGACAGAGTAACCCGGATTTGTAGGAGTAACATAATACCCCTCCTTAATAACACTCGGGTGCAAGAAGTGCTCGTGCAGGTGGTCCACATACTCCAACAGTGACAACTTGCCACTAACCACCACATAGTCAATCGTGCTCAAGTGCTGTGTGTACTCAGGGAGCCCCACGCCGCCGGAGTGTGGGACGATGGGGACGCCAAACTTCTTCGCCATAAGTAGGACCGCTAGGACTTCGTTGACACCGCCCATTCTGCAGGCGTCGATTTGGCAGATGTCAATTGCCTGGGCCTGCAGGAGCTGCTTGAATATTACACGGTTTTGACACATTTCACCGGTGGCGACGCCGATGGCATGGGGTTTCAGGGCTTTTCGGATCGAGGCGTGGCCTAGGATGTCGTCCGGGGAGGTGGGCTCCTCAATGAACCTGGATCTATTAGAACCACACATTGACCTGTATGATGGCTGAAGGATATCTACCAAGGCTTGAATTCTGCGAGTTGGTTCATGTGGTGAACTGCTTCCGGGACAGACCAGACCTAGAAATAGTCAGTTTTGATTTTCCTGTCAATAGACAACGTGGGACAATCCTGATTCGCATCGACCATGAGAACATTTCCTTTATCGTATCCAATAACCTCACGAGCGATTCTCAGCCTCCTCCTATCCTCTTCTACGCTTCCTCCAACCTTAATTTTAAAATGTTTATATCCCTGTGCCAACGTCTCATGCAGAAGGCTCCTCATCTTATCATCGCCGTATCCCAACCACCCTACACCAAAATTAGCCCTCGACCAATAAACCCTGCGGAAGGAGCATACCGGCAGAGGTAGTATACGCCGGCACTGCCCTGTCCTTCAAAGCATCCCGAATCCTCCCCTCTTTCCCACTCTCACCCTCCTTCAACATAGTAACCGCCTCCTCGGGCGTAATCGCATCGGTGATGTACCTGAAATCAATGCACCTAACAAGCTCCTCTGGTGACATATCCGCCACCAACCTCCACAACGGCTTCCCAACCTCTTTGGACCAAAGATCCCAAAGCGCGTTCACGACCGCTCCCAAGGCAAGGTGGATAACTCCCTTCTCAGGCCCGATCCAGCGCAATTGCGAATCCGATACCAGCCACCGCCACGTCTTGCCCATGTCTGCTGTCAGGCTTTCTAGCGAGCGGTTGGCAACACGCTGGGCCACTTGCTCGATCGCATGGCAGACAATGTCGTTTCCGCGGCCAATGGTGAAGGTCATCCCGTGGCCACTGTGGGCACCGTCGGTTTTGAGGATGCAGTAGGCGGCTGAGTAGTCGCCTGCTTGGTTCATGGCATCGGAGCCGGTTTTGTCGAGGGATGTCTGGAGGGTTTGGTTAGCTGGCTTCCTCCCCCCCCCGAAATTGTGGGATATGAAGGAGGGAACTGACTGGAAAGCGGACATCGCGAGATTCGTAGCTAATTATTTGTACCATTTTAACAAGGAATGACTGGTGGTGAGATCAATTGCCCGTTGTCGCTGGCTTATTGTGAGAGGCTTCGCAATCATGGTTATTCTTCATTCCGGCATTGACTTATATATCTCCCCGTCTGTAGGGTAACAGCACAATTATCCAACACTCGGTCCACCTCTTCCGAGTAATACGTTCCCGAGAATGTTTCCCATTACGTTTCGAGCTTCGGCGGAACTGTACCGAGACCAGTGATGCGCGAGGGATAAGTTAGCGTGGGCCGGGTGCATAGGGAAACCGGTTCAGGACTACAGGAGCTCCGTGAAGCCTAGCATTATCGGGTCGGAGACACGTCCCCGCGTGGCATCGAGGTGTAACATATTAGGCCTTGAGAAGGGAGGGCGAAACGAATTGTGGGAGAAACGATCCCTTCGTCTGTTTTCAAGCACAACGCTAACTTCCGCACTACATGAACCTTAAGAATTTCTTGCCACCACTATCATCATTAGTAAGAAATGCTGTTGTTGGTTACTAGAAATCCGCAGGTGTGCACACTTCAGGATACCCGTTACCGCAGGTACGCTGAGAACAAATGAGAACTACAGCAGTAACCCAAAGCATGTGCCGTCTTAGCCGACAAGAAGGGCGATGATAATTCAAGAATCTCAGAAGTCCAGGAGAAAATGGTTGCAACCATCTCTCCCAAACAGGCATTGGGGGAGCGCTTTCAGCACTCACTAAAATCACTAAAAGTGCGTGAAACTCGGGAACAGACGAAGGGATATGAGGCTTGTCCTCAATGGGCGATTTACGGTTAGTTTGCGGCGGTATGAGATGTTTTATGGCCGCACGAAAGATACAGTACTGCCTAAGTTAAGTAACGCGACGAAAGGGTACAGTGCAGTACGGTATGTACAGTACAAGCACGTGTACATACAGTACCGGTACTAAGCAAAGTCTCAACTATGATACCTCGTCGCACTCGAGCGGAGTATGATAAACCGAGAGAACTTCCCAATCAAGTAATGATTTCAACATGGCTAGATCACAATACGATGTAGCGCTGATAGGGGTAAGCAATCCGCAAGATGCACACTCCGGGACTATAAAGTTATAATTGATCAGACGCCGGAGCAGACTACAGAAACTATAAATAACTGTCGATATCATTATTTGCCATTCCCCGGGCCTGGACTAAAAGTCCGCAACCGCACGCCTTTACCCGCTAATAACTCAGCGTGTCTCCGAGTAGAACCAAAGCCGAAGAGGTTTCGTAAATTAGTACCATACCAATTAACGACAACTCGCCAGCAATAGTCATGATCCACCCCTCAACTCACTACAGCAAGCTAGGTAGCCCAACCAGCCAACCAAAGCACCCCAGCTAGGTCTCTCTGAGTTTGAACCCCCCTTTCACTATTACCCTTCCCTCCCTCTCCGAGGGTCCGCCGCAGAAACCCACTATCCCTTCGCGAAAGCCTGCCTAAGGAAGTCTCGCAGCTACTCGAGTACATACCCCCTATCCATACCCACCCCTACCTCATTTCCCATATATCGCTTGCATGATTTTCTGATTTTTTTCGTCCCTAGGGGGTCGCCTATTCTCCATCAGTCATGGATAACTTGCCGCAATCCACCGAAGCCTCTTCCACTCGAGCGCCAACCACAAACACCGAGTCCACCCGTTTGTCGTTCCGTATGGTAAGGTATGCTCGCCTAATATTACCGACTTACCTCCTGGCTATTCAGGCAGGCACATATCATCTACACTTGTAAAGTGCCGGTATCTTACGGCCCGCGATTCACTTCTCTCCCATCGTCACGCTATCATAAACACCGGTCATCACCCGACGAGTGATATTCTGTGAAATCGATAAGCGCCAACTTTGTAAGAAACCGAAGGGTTGATGTAAGAGTCTAGTATCCACCAAGAACCTCAGGGCCTGAAAGCCGCATTGAGGCCGTTCATCCCTAGAATTTAACACAAGGGGTGTCTGTTCGTTTGTCTGTTAAATAGTCCCCCAGCTCCCAGGTTCCGGGGGTTGAGAGTGCCATACGCATCCCATTTTTGAGAGGGTAAGATCAAAGATATAATTGCCGGAGAGCAATGGGGAAGGTAAACCGTGCAGCGGTATACGGAGCGGACTAGAATAGGGCTTGGCCGGCAGAGAGGAGCGGTAGGAAAGGTGTAAAATCATCATAAACTTCGTTCTCTCATTTGGCGGCGTCTTCTCCAAACTAACGGTAAAAATAGGAGTATAAGGAAAACATAACGAAAGCATCCCGACCCTTCCACCGATCACCACACGTCATCCATCTCCTCCATTCATGTCCCCATTCCCTCGCACACACCCATGAGCACAAAGGAAAGACATCAATGGAGAAGGTTCTACGTAAACAGTGATACCTCCAGAAAAATAGAAACTACCCCCAACATTCCCGAGAGCTCTACGATCAACCACAGTCCATGGCCCCTCACCAGGAAATTCAAAAACTTTGACAATAATCACCAGGAGAAGCGCTTTTTTCGTTTCCTTCGTTCGGGCGGACCTACAGTGCTTCATCCGGCTACTTCTCCTCACTTCCCCATGGTACTTGAGCAACAAATGGTGGGATAAGTAAACTAAACAAGGGTCCGGTACACGAGAGAGCTTTAGCCTCGCTAGCTTTATTGCTGCCCGAATATCCGCGTTTCTACACAACAGAGTTGGGTTTCCTTCGGCCCGAACTCTATCCACCCACCACGCTCCAAGAAGATTCCTAAGCATGGGGGGTAAGCCACAACAGCGGCTTCTTACTACTATCACAACAGAGTATTGGCTATAGCTCACATTAATAGGACTCGCTAACAAGTCGAGTAGTCGGGTGCATCTCAAGAAACTAGGACTACAAGCAAAGAACTAATTAAACTCAATTGTCAATGGGAAAATTTCCACCGTTTATCCGGCGATTATCTCACGTCATACAGTACAGAGCACCAATCCGCACGCCACGAAACTCCTATTTGAACCATACCAAGATAAATTTCCTCCCCTCGTAGAAAAAGAAAAAAAGCCAAAAGAACATATAACATTTGCAAAGGAAAAAACCGCACAATGGTAGCGGCCCAGGGAGTGACAGTGGGCCAAAGAGGAGCGGAAGTGAGAAATCACCGCGTGAATGGAACTAGGAGTGAAGTGAGAGGAGTCGTTCTTGTCTTCCACCAGAAGCACGGAAAGAGAAACTAGAAAATACAAAGAGAGAGAAGGTGGCCATCATAGAGAGGGCTGACCTTCTCAGCAACAAGCAACAAAACAAAACAGTCACCCAACCAAGTAAAAGGGCTCACACTCTCTGCCCTGACATCCACATATCCGCTTCCCCACATATCTCTCTATCCGCATAGCGGTTGCTCCTCCCCATACTGCTGTTAGGATTATACCATCACACAATACGCCTCTCAGTGAAATATCCTTCTTTAGTTGAATAATGAGTACCAAAAGACTAAATCAAATTTTAATATCCAGATGACCGCAATAATCCCAATCAATAACCTCAACAAGATAAGAACCCCCCTGAACAGGGAAATATGTGTGTGTGTGCAAAAGTTAATAGAACGAAGCACCGCTACAATTGACCGAGTGCGGAAATGTTAGCAACGAACCCTTCTCAAAGGAGGAGGTAGAAGGGAATCACTCACGAAGAGTATGAATGCTATACCGGTAATAAATGGTCTAGTAGGGTCGTGATGGTGTCGTTGCTCTGGTAGCAAGGTTGTGGTAGCAGCAAGTATGGGATTGAATGATAAGCGGGGCCGGAAGAATCACGCCCTTTGGAAGCGGGGGTGATATGGGGTGATATGCGGAAATCTGGATTGACTACCTAATGTCAAGCCGTAGCCCTAGCACAGTAACCTAGTGTTCCCAACCGTCCAATTCGTCCGTTTCTAGGATAGGACCGGACGGACTACCCTCTTACAGCCCGAAATCCTATGAACAAAAGGGCCTTGTTAGCCCCGATGTTTCAACAATATCTGAGGTTGTTTATGGTATAATGTGTTGTCCCCCGCAGTCTCCCCGCCGCCCATAGTAGTCCCGTGCAGTCCTAGGAACAGTGTTCCCAACCGTCCCGGGCGTCCCGGGCATGGTGGGTAAGGACCGCAGGGCATGGCGTCCGTCTTTGATAATGACTGCCGTCCGAGGGGTTGACGCCCGGGCCCGGGAGTCTTAATACAAATGGCATCTTCCAGCCGTCCCGGGCAGAGGTTAGGACGGACCACAGAACGTGAGTCCGTCTAGGCAGAGTTCCAGGAACAGGCGTCCGTCCCGTCCGAAGTTAAGGACGGACGGACTGGACGCTTGGGAACACTGTCTGGGAAGTCCCCAGAGGTCTCCCACTATCTCCTTGACTACCACTGTTTCACACTGTAGGGCCCACCGTCCTACCTAAAGACTCTCGTCCTGCATTTTCACCGCCCCGGACAGACTACACATGGCTATCCCTCCCCGTCCAGTGCTCTTGCCAGTCCCCCCATGGGGCTCCGCTGGGCCCCCGGACAGTTGGGAACACCGGTCCCAGACAGAGCTACACAGCCTAGCAGTCTGTTCAATCCTGAACCCATCCTGAAAACTGAACAAACAAGCAGATTGCGTGAACCTGGTGGGAATGCTAAGGTTTATCTTTGTGAATGTGCCTTCTACTCAGGAGCAAATTTTGAGATCCTACCTAATACCCAAAAATACTGGCAACTTCGGGCGCATTCCACAATCCAAGCAGTAATGCTTGGGTCATAGGAATATCCTCCGCGGTATAGTATGGTGTAGTATTTACCGAGAGGAGCAAGATATCGGGTGCCTGAGTTGGGTGGCGTGATGAATGGTAGTGCGCTGCCGTGGATGCATATCCCAGCCGTATGAGATAAGGGACACAGTGTTCCCAACCGTCTCGGGCGTCCCGGGCATGGTGGGTAAGGACCGCAGGGCATGGCGTCCGTCTTTGATAATGACTGCCGTCC